GAAAGAAGAAGAAGAGAACGGGAATTCTAGAGTGACAACGACGCTTTGACAGCAACATGACAGTCCGTTTCTTCCTTCTGCTTCTCGTCCAGGCGCTAGCGATGAGCGTCGCGGCAGTCTCCATCCCCGCCCACAGCAGCCACATCATCACCACGTTCAGGTGCGTCTTTAATACCTGCAGTCTTATTGACACATTATTTATTGTACCGTAATAATCACCACAACGTTGAAGTACCATCTTAACAGTGTCGAAAATTTTTTCAGGTGGATGCTTGGGAAACACTACTACCCAACCCCGTCGACCTCCCTTGGCGTGAAGCTTGACGTCTCCTCGAGTCTGTGCCTGGCGCACTCGGCTCTCGCCCTCGCCTCAGACCAGCCGTGGAGCCTCTCTAGTAAGCTTATTATAGTTTACCAATACAAGTAAATGAACTATTTCGGTCTTCATTATGTTAAATGAAAATATACCCTTTTCATCTCCACTGCAACGCAACCTCTTCTTGCAGTGTGGGATGCGAGTGGGAAGATGACGGACGGCGTGGCAGCAGGCGCCACTGAGGCTCGCGGCCACGCTGGCTTATGCAAGAGCGTTAGTGCTGAATTTCCTGGGACTGTGGCCTCCCATCTGCATGAACACCGGCACAATATGACTCGCCATGATCTTGCCCTGAACTACTTAAACTCTGATGCACTCCTGCTCGAAAACACTGTACTGAAAGGCCGCTACTGTCTTGTATCCGTCAGGTAATATTGGAGTCACTGCTGCTCCCAATGTCTTTCTATCATTCTCAGTCTAATCAAACAGTTTACAGTAGGCTCTCCATGACACCGGCATATATTTTATTCGGAATGAGTTCTGGCATGGCCAGGTGCTGCATCTGCTTTTCGATAGCGTTAGGCTTATTTTAGTTCATTCATGAATCGCGGTTGATACAGATAAATTAATGCGACATCTTGTGGTAAGATCACTCATTTCAGTGCTGAATCTGAATATGAAATATTACTCAAAACTATAGTGCTATAAAATATATTTGTGCTGTATACCGATATACAAATCCATTGCACAAGTAATAAGTACAGTGAAACATATTTCTCTATTGCAGCAATTGAATGAAACCAATCAGTTATAAAAGACAGCGTTTTATTGATTCCCACGTTCTCGTTTTCAGAGATCAAAAGAGTGGTAAAAGTGCAGGAGGATCATCCCAGATGTTTGCCTCCCTGGCTGGGAAATACGGGAACACGTATGCCACGTGCATACCAGACACCTGTACTGCAGCCTTACTTCAGGTAAATACTATTAAACAATATATGTGTATATATATATATATATATATAATATATATATATATATATATATATATATATATATATATATATATATGTAATTGTATGTGTGAAAAAGACGGGGGAGGATATTGTGAAAGTGCAAGGCAAAAATTCATGCGTCTTTCCTCACAACAGACATCTTTGCGAGACCAATGGGATGAAGATATAGTTGTGAGTGTCGCATGCGAAGGAGAGGAAGAGGATTATTTCAGCCTTCCAGACTTCGGGTTCTTGTAAGTGTTCGAAATAAATTTACAGTAATAATAGTCCGTTTAACACGATTTTACAACAAATTCGATATTAGAAAAAGTCCGTCAGATCTATGATTCCATTATTTTCTTCCAGGTCATTGACATTGGTGCTCGTGATCCTGGCGGTGTGGGCCACGGCCTTGGACCTCCAAAAGCCTTGCGACAAATCTTCTGGATGTTTTTGTACTTCAGGTAAGTCTGATCTAATTCCACGTGTGTAACTGATTTCATGAAACTTATAGTTGGAAAATCTAAAACTACCCAGATGTGACCATTGATAACTGGATTTCATTTTTCTCAGGTCGTAAGATACTTCACTGCTTCTCCTTGGTGCAGAACGGACCTCGCATTCTCTCAGTACCAGTCACACCAAACCAACACCAAACCCTTGATGGATTAAGGTAATATTTAAATCTAAATGCGTAGCCATAATTTTCTTAGATGCAGCATTATTTTGCACTGTGAGTAAAAATGAATCTCTTCATAATCCAATTGCATTTCAGAGTTGTTAGCATGGCGTGGGTCATCCTTGCACACCGCTACATGCTGTTCCTCGTCTCTGCCTCCAATCCCAACGACATTCTGCAAGTGAGTTATTTTTAGTGTGGTGTGGCAAAAAGTCCTTCATTGAACTGATGTCTTACAACCTCTGACTGCTGTACAGAAATATTGCTAAGCATGTTTTATTTTGCTCTCAACTGCATTCACTAACCGTCAATCGCTTTTCTCTGCAGCATATGACAAACTGGCGGTACTGGTGGGTGTTTAATGCCTACCCTTCAGTGGACACTTTCTTCTTCATATCTGCATTTCTGGTCTCTGTATACCTGAAGGAGCGACTTCACAGCTTCACTTTCACTGGCTTTTACGTACAGCGATACTTGAGGTATGCTTTCCCAAGTACTGAAGAGCACAATAATTTCTGTAATAAAGCAATGAAAACTGAAAACAATAGTCTCTAGGTGCAAAATGAAATGCCGTGCAACTGGATTGCTTTAGGATCAGAGATATTAACTTCGTCTTGCTGCTTCCATTTCTGAAACTGTTTAGAACCACAAATAACAATAACTGCTCATCTGTACAGGCTTGTGCCCACAATGCTGTATACAGTGTGGGGGTGTGGGACAGTGCTGCGCCATCTGGGTTCAGGCCTCGTCTGGGATCGTACATACCAGGACATGTTTGGGCAGCCGTGTACCTCTAGTGCCTGGTATAATTTACTCTTCATCAACAACTTCAATGACTCCGGTGACATGGTAAGACCTGAAATGCATGTACAAATGTCTGGAAAATAGCTATTTGATTATATCACGTTACACTATGGATATGATTGTCATTTCTTCAAAATGTTAACTAGATTCTTTTACTACAGTGTCTAGGACACCTCTGGTCGTTGGCAGTAGAGTGGCAGTTCTTCCTCGTGACGCCTTTGGTTCTCATTCCGCTGTACCGCTGGCCAACCTGGCGCTTCCGCTGGTTCCCGTTGGTAGCAATGCTCATCCTCTCAATTGTGGTGCCCGCTGTTATCACAATTACCAAAGACCTGCCTCCTACAGCGTCATTCTGGGAACATCAGTCTACACAGTAAGTAACGAACATAGATGTTTATGTATATCACCTTAAATACCTACATACATCCTATCAATACGAACATAGTGCAGTTCCTAATAATGTTGCCTTTACAGAATGTATTACAACCACATCTACATGGCGCCGTGGTGTCGGGCTGGACCATATTGTGTGGGCCTAGCAGCCGGTTGGCTATACCACTGGATGGCAGAAAACAGCATTACACTCAAGCCAGTGAGTTAAACTTTATGTAAACTTATGATCCCCATGCTTAGACACGACATGTATCTTATATGCCTTCTTATATGTTTACCTATTATTTTGTCCAAATATCCATACATACTTCAATCCCTATTTTTTTCTGTAGACGTGGATACGAGCTGGCAAAATCATGAGTTTTGTTGTGGTTGCCTCCGTGCTTACCGGTCCAAGCTTCCTGACTGGACAAGGTCGATACTGGGCAGCCCTCTACTCGTCTCTGTCAAGACCCGCCTGGGGCTGTGTCATAGCCTTCTTCGTGCTTAACACCGCCAGAGGCAAGCCAGGTAAAGTACTTGTGAATATCATGATGTCTACCAACAAAGTCAAATCAGGTGGAAGACGAGTTTGAACGTGTAAAGACATAACACATTCTATGCATTGTCTGTTAACCACTCTTTGTATCTCTGCAGGTGTGATTGCGCAGTTTTTCTCCCACCCGATGCTGGCTCCCTTATGCAAGGTGTCCTACTGCATGTACCTGGTTTCCCTTCCACTGCAGACAATGACTACTGGGATGGCACATAAAAACCATTACGATCAACTAACAGCAGTAAGTTAACACATCTTGTATGCAAATATCATTGCATGTTTATAATTTGATACTAGTGATCAAAGGAACTCTATTTCCATAGAACCAAATAATTTACGAGCAAATGCCTTATGATCATCTGTTTACTGCAGGTGTACCTGGTGGTTGGCGACCTCGTGTTCAGCTATGGCGCAAGCCTTGTTCTTGCTCTGGTCGTAGAATCCCCTTGCACGCGCCTGCTGTCGCTTCTGACATCAGGTACGTGTAATGGTCCTTGTTACCGGAGGGCCACTGCGGTCGTTTGATGAATATTGAAACCATTTTGTTTGTCATCCCTTTGGAGCGTATAAACTAATAACAGACGAAGCAATGGAAACATTGGACTTGACCGTTTCTTTTCTTTTCGCCTACAGGAAAGCTCTTCCAGCGTAGCCAGCCGCCAAGGCCTCAGGCCAAGACAAGTGTGAAGGAGGCACCCAAGAGGCCTAGTAATACCCAGGAGCTCGTGAGGGCAACACTTGCCCCGACTTTCAGCTGTGTCAGATACAGAAACCTGTAACTTCTCAAAACACATTCATATAATTTGTAAATATTTGACTTATTGACGTATACACAATCGATGTATACTCTCTTGTACAGTAGTTTATTTTTATTTATTTGTACAAATTAATGTTGAGAAGTTTATGAACTGTGATGTAATGTTTAGTCGTAGATAAGTATATACAAATAACGTCAAGGATATTTCTCTAAGAAGTATTATTATGTATAAAGTGCCATGTGCATTAATTCTCATACGTATAGGAATCAAACTCATACTACTCATCAAATTATCTAGTTATGGTTAGTGAAAACTTGCATTGCATTGCTTACAAACACATACCACACACACACACACACACATACACATACATACATGCATATATGTGTATGTATATAGAAAGTGTATAGGTACATTGCATGCATTCTCATAAAATTCCCGATATCTTGTGATAAAATACTTAGAGTGTATATTTATGTGTATATAAATTTTCTGTACTTTATTTATTAAAGATTATATAGTA